TGCCGAATGAACCCTGCATTTAGTAATTTTTTTACTTCGGCGGATGCCGCCTGAATTCTTTCTACGCCATGGTTCCGCTTCTTCTGCCGTACCGGCTTCTTTTTTGGATCCACGGCCAGTTTATGTACCGCCAGATCAGGACTAATGCCTGGCATTTCATGGACTTCGAATGCAAAGATGTCCTTGTATTCTTTCAATAGTTTGTGAAAGTCGTCACCTTGGTCTCTCAGAGCATTCGTCCCAACTTTGACTGTTCGGTCAGGACGCGAGTCGTCTAAGATCAGGTCTGTATGCTCACCAGCCGGCTGAGGGCGGAATTCATCCGACCGCTCCTCTGCCAATGATTGCTATTTTCTGTCTTTTCTTGCGGCCCCTGTCTGGGATGCCTTTCTCTTCTTGCCGCCTGCTTCTTGAACAGGCGCACTCTCCTTGACATTGTCAAGGTCTATTTTTCCACCACTCGACCCAGTGGCCATAATAGTGGGCTTGACATCCGAGAGATAGCACTCTCGGGCCATCCTCTAATCTCCCCTTAAGGACCCGACTGTTCCATTATCCCTCTCAAACTTGAGCAACATAAGAGATGGGATTATAACAGCCTTGGAATTTTTCAGGGTTGGTCGTCCCAGAATCATGTTGTAGGCCGAGAGTTCTTCTACTACCAGGAACCGGACTACCATGTGTCGTCCTTCCCCTTTTTCGCCCGGGCGGATGGGTAAATCCACTCGTCCCACTGGGTGGACGACTCCTCCTCCAAACCCTACTAAAGGGTGGGATGCCGGATGTATGCAATCAGTCTGATATTTTAGTTTCGACAGACATTTGCTACTGATGAGATCTGAGGAGCTTCCGGTATCTATGAGGATTCGGCCAACTCTCTGGTTGGCCACTTTACATTCAATAACGATAGGGTCGTCATGCGACCCTCTTACCCCTCCTAGATCTTCTTCAATGATGACAATCTCAGGAAATGAATATTTGGAGGGCCGTTCTTGGTGAACGGAATTTACATCTAACCGTCTGATGTTGTCTTTGTTGCCCCTAATAGTGGGGCCGCCTCCTGAGAAGCCGCCTGCAATGGTGTAGACGACTGCATCATCTGTATCGGAGCTGTCGGCCTTTTGATTCTTTTTGGCCGACTGCTTTTTCGAGGAAGTGCTCCCCGTAGATTTCTTGACATAAGTGTCAAGATCACCTTGCTCAGCCAGGCGGTCCAGATACCGCATGAGACTGATGCAATCATTGGTGTGATGACCAACATCTTCATGATAATCACAGAATTTTTCTTGGTTCCGATAGTTTGCAGAACCCTTCATGGGGACCGGCTTCTCAATTGAGATCCGTCCCTTGATTTCCTTGAGGATAAATTGGCTATCCTTGTTAAACGCATACTTTGGGGAGTATGGTTTGAATTCTTTTTTCTTTTTCTGGGCCGGCTGTTTAGAGGAATCAGCCGCCCAGACCTCTTTTCTCTTCTCGTCTTTGTTTGACGACTGTTTCTGTCGTCCTTCTCTTTTGTCGGACCTTCTCCCTTCTGACTGTTTTACCGTACTACAAAGATCAGTCGCCTGTATATAGGCTTCCGCTTCAATCAAGGCCTCTTGAAGAGTCGCCACCCTCTTTCGGACCAAATCAAATTTGAAGGTCGACCCGTCTTTGAGACCTCTGAAAAAGTCAGTATAGGCTACTTCATCCGGTAACCCTTGAATCTGTATTCTCATCAGGTTAAACCGCCTGATGTAAGAACGAAGCCCCTCCTTCTCGCCCTGCTGAATTGTTCCTAAATCAAGGGTCGTCTTCTTCGCAGGGATGTTCATGGCGAAGTTGGAGGTGAATAAGTAAGCAAGCGTCCTGAAGCTATTTACAGAACCAGTCGGTAGGTTGCAAAACCATTGTTGTGCGATTCCTTTGAGAGTCGCTGGGAAACACTTGCACCAAGTGGGATCATCCAACCCTTGAAGGTACATCAGGTTGGTGAATGCCATCAGATGGTCTTCTGGGTTAGTAGTGCCGTCATAGGCGCCTACTAATACATTTTTCACTTTGGCCGGCTGAGCGGCTTCAGTAATTTCCTTGGAGAAAGCCGACGGTTGTTCACCAAGTCTAAGCAACCGTAGCTGCCAGTCCATAGGTTGGACATTTTTTGCTGCATGTCCACCAAACGGAGGTGGCTGTAAAAAATACTGTTGTTGCGGTACAAACGGTAAGTTTGGTACCGCCTGGTCGCTATGATAGCCGGACTGACGGGAGGTGTCGCCTGACTGACTCTCATGATACGACTGAGTATGCCTCATCGAGGTATTTCGCAGACTGTCTTGGAAGTTTGAAGTAGAGGCCGACTCTGACAATCGGTCACTCTTCTTCTGCTCTAGCAGTAGCCGAGCGTCGGTGTATGTTTTCCTCGACTTGTCCGCCTGAATATGACGAACAGGTTTCCTATTTCCTGGAGTAGGAAAACGGTATTTTGTGAAATCAAGGGCAGGTGGCTCCCGCTTCCTAGATTTAGGATGAGGAGTCGCCTCTCGCCCTTGAACTGGCTTCCTCTTCTGTGAAGTGGAGGGTTTCTTAGCCGACTGCTCCTTGTCCAGAGCAGGAGGCTTCTTGTTGATCAACTCTTGAATTTCTCCCTTGAAGTCCCTCATGAAGGTCATGAGTTCACTCCTTGTGATGGGAGCAGACCCATCAGTCGGCTGCTGCCGAACAGGCGGTGCGCCTGCTGGCTCGCTTCCAGTTTGAAGATGTTCCCGTTCCCTCCTTTCGGTATGACGGGTACGTCGGGCCCTTAGGGTCCCGTCTGAAGCTGTGTGAGCTTCAACTTCAAATTCATTCTCAGTATCGTGGTCCGACTGAACTAGAGGGTCGTCCAGGGGACGTCTCTCTTCAGGAGTCGGTACAAACGTGGATGCCATCTCAGAAGTACTCTCCCCACAGACGACGCCAGATGTTTCGGGGTTTTCTGATGTCCTGCGGGAGAGTTACAATTCCGAGACTGGAACCGGACGCCTGTACCTGCAAAACAACGGAGACTTCTGGTGGTGGGAGCTCTGCCTCCGACGGTCAAGTTAGTACTTGTTTGAGGAGTAATTAATGCGGAAATTAAGGTGATTGGGTCTCTCTAGGTGAGAGTGTTTAATGTGTGTAATCTGCGTTTTTAGCATGCTTCCTCCCTTAATGAGGATTAAGGGAGGTATTTATAACCTTGGGAAACGTGCCAATCCTAGGTTTAGGTTAACCTAGGGCTGATTGGGCTTCCCTCGGAAGTTGAGCCTGGGTGGCCGGTTTCTCCATTAGGCATGGAGTATGCCACGTGTCATGACATAATAGGTCCAAGGTGGACGAATAAGCGTGTGCCACGTGGCAAGCCCTGACAGTTCCAATTGGGGGACACTTGACAGGACCTGATTGGCCCATGTGGCGCATTCCGATTGGTGGGAGCAAAATCCCCTAATCAGTTGGTATTGCTCTTCAATCTTTTAGATTTTTTACTAGTTTGTATTATGCAAACCACTAAAATGATCTAGAGAATTCTTGACATTGGAAGTAACTAGAAATCCGGCCATTTTTTCCAAGCTCCATCTACCACTATAAATATGAGTCACAGGCATACAAGACATATACACACAAGAAGCCATATTTATGCACAAGGCTTCCTACTCATCTACCCTCTTTGTAAATTATTACCTTCTCTACTACAAATCCACTATTCCCTTTTTGTAATACTCCTTTGTGAGTTCCTATAATGAGAGTTTTCTTGAAACGGAGGGAGTAGAACTTTACTTCTATGCCTAATTACTCTATGATCAAGCTTGTCTTTCTTCTCTATAATTGATGATTGAATCCGAAACTCAAAAATGTAATTTCCATTTATAATTATAAGTATTTATGGCCTATGGGTGTAACAATAAAAAATAAACTAAATCTATATTAATAATGGTAAGTAAATAATATCATTGTTTCATTTAGATATATTTATTTCGAGTACATTATTAGTGAAAAAGTATATTATCAATGTGATTAGATAACCGAAATACTTGTTACATTAGATTCATAATAAAATACATTAATAGAAGATTATAGGGAAAAATTTCATGATCACATATTCATGTGCATTTCACTTGATATGTTTCATGTCAATAACTAATTTAGCAAAGGGAGCAATTCATTCAGGGACGCGGTGAGCTGTATGCGGAACGAGAGTCTCAAGAATTACATCCTATTAGCTTTGTGGCAAAAGGGTTGAGAAAGAGTTATATTCTTGAACCATTATTGGAAATGAGGGATGAATATTACAATGTTTATTTCAATATAACCATGTTGAAATTTTATTTGTACTTATTATAGCATGTTTTGTAATTCAAAGAATACAAAAAAAAAAAAAAAAAAGCAAAGTCAAAATTCAAGCCTTTTTTTAATTACATCTTTTGTTATGTTTAATAGTTACATTTTCTTCAATATTTCAAGCAAGTTTGAGAAATTAAAGAAGCTACTCTTATATAAAAGCACTCTAAACAAATTTGAAATACGACCTCTGTCTTTTGTCTTTTAGAAACGGAGGGTGTAGAAATTTAATTCTCCCTTTATTGTTTTCTTAACTTTTATTTTATGCCTACTGTTTTCTCAACTTTTATTTATGCCTATACTCTATGATCAAGTTTGTCTTTGTTTTCTATAATTATTTCCGAGACTCAAAAATGTAATTTCCATTTAGAACTATAATTATTGATGGCCTATGGGTGTAACAATCATAAAGAAAATAAAGCTTATTTCGAGTACGTTATTAGTGAAAAATTATATTATCAACGTGATTAGATAGCCGAAGTATTTGCTACGTTTGATCCATAATAAAGTACATTAATATAAGATTCAAGGGGAAGATTTCATGGTCACATATGCATGTGCATTTCACTTGGTATGTTTTATGTCAATAATTAATATAACTAAGGCAGCAATTCAATTCATTTCATTTGCATTCATAGTTGCATGTGCAACAATATTAATTCAGTATTGGCGTATTGCCATCAATTCATTACATTCATAAACATTCTCATTACATTGTTGTCCCTCAAACACTTTGGATAAACAAAATATCTTGTATATTAGTAATACTTTTATACTTCATACATCAAAATCTAAAAGGTAAATAGTACCTTCGTTACACTTCCACACAATTTATCAATTACTTATAACGAGAAAAAACAAACTAACTATAAGATTTATGATGTTAACATGATTAAATTCAAACAAACATATGCTTGTAGTATATTTTCAAGGATATATAGACCAAGATAAGTAAGTACTAAATAGCTTGAGACTTTGTTCACTCTCAACATCTTTTGCTAAGTGGTTTGCCACAAAGACAAGTATTGTAAACAAACGACGACGCTTCAAGGTGGTCATATGGAGCTCCTGCAGGTATGGGCCCACAAAGTTGGTTATGACTCAAGTCCAAATGCCCAATGTATGAGGCTGAAGAAATGGACTTGGGTATTGGCCCACTAAACCGGTTATGAGACAAATCCAGAACCATAAAATACGACCTCGGCCCGAAAACATCGGGTATTCGACCCTCCAAAGCATTCCGGCTCAAGTTACATATACTCACACCCGAATTCAACAAACTTCTTGGTAGTTGACCCGATATCATATTACCATCAAGGTTCAATGTTGCCAAAACTGGCATCTTATCGAACATATCGGGTATTTGACCCGATAACCGATTAAGCGAAAGATCCAAATCCGAAAGGCGATAGATGTTGGATAATGAAACGGGAACAGGCCCACCTAGTATGTTACCACTAAGCAAAGCCCGACTCATCATCGTAAGCTTACCCATTTCACTTGGTAATTCACCTGATAACTTGTTGTTTCTTAAATCCAAGTGCATCAACCGACCCAAATACACAATCGATGGAGGAATCGAACCTGTAAGATTATTATCGGCTAGATTAAGAACCGTAAGCTCCCTCAACCGGCCTATATCAGTTGGAATCCGACCCGTGATCCGGTTCCCAATTAGGTCAAGGGTCCGAAGATAAGGTAGCGAGGTGATACACTTAGGGATCTCACCCGAGATCCCTTTCCAATCGGCTATAGTAAGGCTACTAAGCCGGTTTAGGTTGCAAATTGCCGGGGAGATTGAACCGGTCATGAACCCGGTTCGATGAGCCCGCTCAAAAATTGGATCTTCGGATTCACCACGTAAGTTGATGTCGGCAACACGATGAACATATGGGTCACAACTGACCCCGTACCAACCGTGACAGCAATCCGGTCCGGTCCAAGAATTGAAAATACCCAAATACGGTTCATGAAGGGCAGCTTTGATAGACAAAAGCGCTGCCCGGTCAGATGGCGGGCAGGCGTTAATAACCGTAATAACGGTCATTATAACTGCCCAATAACAAAACAGAACTTTCATGTTTGTTTCTCACTCTACTAATAGTCTACTGTACTGTGTATGATTATGTGAAGTTGAGTGCAGTGAACTAGTGAAGTGAGCTAAGAATGTATAAAGGAAGGGATTCCATATATATATGGGGGAAGATGGAGGGTGATAAGAAATGACTGTTTTGCCCTTTAATCTGGAAAATTTGAGGAAGAGATAAGGATAAAATCATAAAAATAAAAATAATAAAATGGGATTTTTCGTTAAGAAAGAGAGAAACTATAATTGATATAAAAGGAAGGAGGAAATGAGGTAGAAGGTGGTGAGGCCAAAACCCATGTGAAACTGTGAAATGTGTTTAATGTTAGGTCCAGAGTTTCAGTGGTTTGGGTCCTGATGTCTTGCAGAATGTTAGGGGCTGCCCTTAATTTGTGCAGGATTTTTTAAGAATTTTTTTTTTTTTAATGATAAATTTTAAGTCATGATATTATATTTCAGTAAATTCAGTGAATACAAATCTTTGTTCTAATCTAATCCAAACAAACAAAAGTTTCTAGTCAAATAGAAGAATTAATTTCACTAATGTGCAAAATCGAGCTCGATTCAAGTTTATCTTGATAGAAATAACTACTTGTACTATTGGCAAGGCTTGAATCTCACAACCTCGATAATGTGTTATGAGTCGTATGACCATTAAGGGTATCATACTTCATAGTTTCATAAAAGAGTAAAAATTACAATGCTCACTCAACTGTGCTAATAGAGTACTCGTAATAGCTAGTACAGTCCATCAAACAGCTATATTAAAGATTATTTATTGACTGATCATTAAATGAAGTACAGTTGTGTATTAAATGATACAGTATAACAAACATGTAAGACAATCAACCGGAAACATTCCAGTAAAACACGTATAGAAGAACTCTGATAAACATTAAGTGAACATTAATCTTCAGTATAGTTCAATAAGCTTGATTTTGAGCTGATCTAGCAGAAAGCAGGGGGCAATATTGTACTTGTATAATGGTTACAATTATTGTCTATAATATAGAATAAGAGTACATAGATATTAACTCTATGAAAAAAGAAGTATACTATGAATATATAGAGGGAAACTGTTAGTCTGTTACAAAGAAAACAAAATGTTATGGCAATAATTGATACAGAGATTTAATCTAGGATCTTCTCTATTATGCATTGAGACAAGGTCTTCCATGTGACTAATATGGCCTCAATCTTATTTTATACTAAAGATTTAGGATGCCACAGGAGCTCAACCTACCTAAACATAATACGGAGTACGAGTACATAGCTCTATGACTCTATCACCGGCTGGGCAGCCGAAACCACTTTGGCTTAATGGTGGCTCACAACCTTAGTTTGAAGTTTTTGTGGATGTTGAATTGGAATGTGATGCCATTAATGTGGCAAACAAGATAGCAGGAAGAGTTTTTTTGGAATAAATGCTCGAACATACTTGTGTATCAAGTTTTTGGCAAGATACTCCTACCCAAGGTAACATAACATAGGATTCACAAGTTCACAACACCTTGACAGAACTCAATTAAATAACAATCTCGATTTTTCCCTAAAATAAATAAATAAAGGCTTGATCTCGAACTAGTAACTGTGAATAATCTGTGATCTCTCAAAAAAAAACTTATCATTAGATGCAACTTCTCAAGAATACAAGAACATGGCAATGTTATTTTCAATGGTATTAGCCAAAATTGGGAAATTGAATGAATAATTAGTTAATTACGAAGAACAAAGGGCAATAAAGAATCACATGAATTCTAATCTAACACCAAAATACAAGGGCCTACTGCATTTATCTTCGTGTTGTAAGGTGAAAGGTATAATTCTTATAATCTTATTTCTCCTTCATAACAGTATAGTAACTGTTTGAGAGTAGTCCCTTTACAATTAATTGCGAATCCTCCATGTCTAATAGTGAAAAAATCCCTATTTTTTCACATACAAAAATGTGATCTGTCGAGTCATTTCACTGTATAAAAAAAGATAAATATGGCCCCATAAGCCCATAATCTATGGTTGTGAGACAATCATTCATGCAATCATATGTTCATGTCATTGAATAATTTAGATAATAAAGCAGATCTTGGTTTGAACACAATTTTCAAAAGGGACTTTGAAAATGAGGGTTGTGTAAATCCTACTATACTTGAGCTATTTTATATGGTGAAAAAAGAGACAAATTATAAGCATAGACACTATGACGCACACGTAGTTTGATCCTATGTTTATGTGACACCGATATTATAATGTGTTATATGAGAACTAGCTAAGGTTAAATATATTCTCTCGTGCAAACAATAAATCTGTAGTAATTTGTGTTGTATGGTTGTTTTGTATTTCTGTTTAGGGAAGAACATGGAATGTGACAATTAGGTTGAACATCCCCTCTTCAAGTCTGCTACTTCCACCGACCCAAATTGCTACTTAGAATGAAGAGGAAATCCACTCAAGATGTGATGTTGAACCTTATTTGAAAGGCATATTATTAATAGTAACAAGCATATATTAACTAGACATTCCCGTCAAAAAAAAAAAAAAAAAAAAAAAAAACTAAACATTGCCAACTCACATGGGAATCCCTTTTCAGTTGTTTCAATTATGGGAGAAGAAATACTGTGCAATTAACACAAATCTATTTCACCAAAAAAAAAAAAAAAAAAAAAAAAAAAAAAAAAAAAAAAAAAAAAACCTTGAATTTTCTGAAAAACACAAGAATAATACTCTTATAAAAAGTAAGCATAAAATATTGAGGTTTATATATGTAATGCAAGTAAAAAAAACATTAATGTTCCTCATCTTGTCATTGTGAATAACAAGCAATTAAGCCTCCTACCCTAAATCCCATTACCTATATACTTCGTATAACATAAGGATATCAATCAGATCTTTATTCTACCGTAATATATTACAAACTACTACATAATAATTAATCATATCACTATTAATTCAAATCGCCTCGACCCATCCTAAAAGACAATCTAACATGCATATTGCATATAGTATGTTTTTTTCCCTAGCATAGTTCAGTCTTCAATTTACTTCAGGACGCGTGTTTGACACTTCATTTTTAGACCAAAATACGTATAAGATAGATACAAGTTCGTCACAAGTACTGGAGTCCTACTAAGTGAACTAACATAACTTCCCTCTAAAAACAAGGGTGAATCAACATAGCTTTCCATCAATATAAGGCTCTTCCAATAGTCTGATTTATGTGGGTTCAAACAGTCTATCTCATGTCATTAGTCATTACAGGCCCATATTGCAGAATTAACAAATTCAAGAGCTGGCGAGTCTAACAGATTCTAAGGCCCAAATTTACAGAACTTCAATTTTGAAAATATACATTACAATCCATCAATTACTATGAGCCCATACAGTATTAAGACCACAAAATTTATGGGCTAAGCTGGAGTAACTGTACAGTTCCAAGGCCCAATGACTAGCACCATCTATTGATCCTATTCCTAGCTCCTCAGAGACACAAACGCAATGTTAGCAAAATGTTTACACCTACATACGGAGTACTAACAATGCAAAGTCTATGTTTTGGAAGGTACATTGGGAATACGCTGTAAGGGGCGAACTTGGGCATATAAAACTTTGTCTTACGTCTTCTTTTTAAGGGCGATATCTAAGGAAATAGTATAATGTAAGCAAGAAGACACTAGGAGAGCCATGCACAACGGGGAGCATCTAGTAGTGTAAAAGGTCCATTCAACCTATCAAAACAAATAAAATCCAAAAAAAAAACATTCTTTTGTACCTTACTATGGAGGTACAAAATGGACTTGGTATAGAATGAAGAGAATGGAGGGGTACAAAATGGACTAGGTATCAAATGAAGCGAATGGAGGAGGATCTTTGTGAATAACCATATGATATATACTTACAGTTCATGCAACTGACCTCATATCTTTTAAATCTTTGGGAATAAGGCTATAATTTTTTGTCTGTTGTATTCTATACTTCCTCCGTTCTATTAATATTGTAACAAGGATGAAATTACACATTTCAAAGCATATTTTATATGCTAAATATTTATAATTGTGTAAGAGTAAAATTTATAAAAAAATTGATATTGTGAAAGTATTTTATGAGACGAATCCAACAAGATCCCACAAGACTATATTTTGCTTAACGTATAAATCATATTATATGGTCAAATAAGAGTGATGAATAATGTAAAAAGTCCATTGTTGCAATATTAATATAATGGAGGAAGTATTTTACAAGCACACAAGTTTAGGACCAAGAAACAGCAAATCCGAAGTATTATTGAACTGCCTAATATTCCAGAAATCCAAAGTGATAGGATTTCTTAACCAACCAAAAAAAAAAAAAAAAAAAGTTGATCAAAATTAGATTAAAGTATCCCCCAATAGCCAAGTAATAAGTAGGACGTTGATTTTTTGATGTTTTTGCCCCCCTTATTAAAAGTAAAATCTCCTAAATTACGAAATATCCTTTTTCACGTATGGCATAATACATGTACGGTGCTGGTTTACCAGACCTGGTTTCACATCTTTTGCATTAATATGATGGTCCTCTCATATAAGTCAGGTTCACAATCAAACACTTCAAATCATGCCAAATATCCCATAAAATATCTTTTTGGTACCCCACTGTTATAATCAATTAATATGAATCTAAGCGATACACATACACCCCTTACTTTAATACCTTTTCTGCTTCTTAATACTCGTACTACATAGTTACAATTCTTACAAGTATACCATTATGATATACCCTGTTTTAAACAGTGGCGGATGTAAAAATTTTAGTGTGGAGGGGCACTAAATAAAAAAATAAATAAAATGCTTGGATGAGGACTTGAACCTAAGACTTTAAGTACAAACTCAATGCATTACCAGTTTACCACTATGACAAAGCTAATTTGTTGTTACTTACTGCATTAAAATTGTATTTAATTTATAAATTTATACCTTCACCTAAATAAAAAAAATAAAAAAAATAAAAAATTTGCAAGGCCGGTGCCATCTAGGCCCCTTAATAGATTCGCCCCTGGTTCCAAATATAATCATATACCTAGCTAATAATTGGATATGTTTACAATATAAGGAAACCACTTTATTTGATACTTCCACCGTTCCACTAATATTGCAATAATTACCATTTAATTAAGAAAGTTTCACAAATATTGCAACATTATTATATATGCACATGCTTTCTCTATATCTCTTTTCTCATCACATACGTCCCTATCTTTATTTCTCTCTATCTCTATCCTCATCTAAATTTCCGTGCCTTCTCCTCTTGTTGCAATATTAAGGGAACGGAGAAAGTATTTCCTAAACAATTGTATTTGCAAGTGTATACGAAGTATAATAATTGGATGAAGGAATTTTGGAGGAAAAGGGCAGGGAAGGAAGGAAAGCCAAGGAGTCAATTTCCCTTGTTTGGATATGGATATGGAGAAAAGAAGAAAAGCATAACAAATTCCATTTACTTTTCCCCTTAATATACGAAAACATTTTAATATCAGAAAGATTTGAAAATAAATGTAAAATCCCACCTTACTCTCC